GGCTAAACCTTACCTTACTAATCCTATTGAGGCAAATAAAAAGCCTCACTTACTAACAAGCATGTAAAAAGAAAGAACTGGAAAGTACCAAATATTTAATGATCATCATAGAGTTTATAACATACTCTGTGATGATATTACAAATGAGTATACTAACATAATGGTAGAATAAAATGATGAAGGAATTAAAATGTTGTCCTTTTTTGTCCGAACTTGTAATTTCTTCAATTTGTAATTCTTTTTCATCACAACCCCAATTCTTCAAGATGTATTCAAAATTCATGATTTCTTTTTTGAACGATTGGACTTTTTAGATGCAGTTGGGGCGGCCTTCTTTTGTTTGGCAACTCTCATTGGAGGTCGCCTAACATTTAAAAAATCACTAAACTTGTCATCCCAACTATTTTTCCTTGTATGAGATTTGCAACTTTTTCCACTATGCATTGGTGATAGATCCCCTTTTCTTGCTGCCTCTGCCCTACATTGTTGTATCATTGCATCTTCCTANTCTAATGGAAGGTTCTTTAGATATGCAAATGATTTCTAAATGACTACCCAATATTTTTCAATAGCTGGGTAGTATTTCCTCTTTGNTGTGGAGCATTTTGGACGATGTCTAGTGTCACCAATGCAGATTGTCCCTTTGTATTTGTCACCATTGCCTTGCTTTGATGTTGATAAGTTTTTTGCATTTTATTCCTGCTCTTAGTCACAGGTCCAGTGCTATATGCATTTAGATTTACAGGATTTAACGAAGTAGAACTTACTATTTCATCCAAAAGCTTTCTCTCCTCCTCTGAAATAACTGGGACAGTTGTAGCAATTTGATTTTGTCCCAATTGCACTGCTGTGACTTCTCGATCACCTTTAGAACTAGTTGTTGTACTAACCTTCGTTGTAGGTGGTGTTGTATATGTACTGGTTATCACACCTTGGAGGTGCCCACTTTTTGGTTGTACTGTTGTAGTTCGATCACATGTAGGATTAGTATTTGAGGAGTTGGGATCAATTTGCTGCTGCTGCACAGTAACTGAAGGTGATCCTGTTGCTGCATTTTGCATACCAGAATTTGAATAACTTCTGGGAACAAAAGCAGGAGCATTGAGGTTCAGATTACTCTTGGCACTTGCTGCTCGTACTTGACCATGTTTTTTCATGACCATTGAATAAATCTCTTACCCTGCACTATCATGATTAACCTCTTTATCAGCGTCTTCTGATGAATAACCAGCGAAACCATCGCCCCAATCCTCTTCATCGTCATCCTCACACTGCTCTTGCCAAAGCTTGGATTTGATAGCCATCAACCTCAGATTTGACTGTATCACCTCATTATTATTCCCCGTTGACAACATGATCTGCCCAGATTCACCTTCAAAATCCCCAAACGACTCCACTGATTGAGATAGGACATCAAATACGGAAGTATTCAGCGTGACCAAAGGTTGTTTAACCAAAGTAGAATTCATCATCATTTCATTTTGGGCATTTTTGATGATTCGCTCTACATGATGATTGGAAAAATGAAACATAGGTACATTGGAACTATTAACTTGGGTGCTTGTTAGTTCAATTCCCAATTTGTTTTAGAGTCACTTCGTCGAACACCCAAAATTTCTACCAATTCATGTTTTAGAGTCACTTCGTCGAACACCCTGTCTTTCGTCACATTACCACTGCCTTGAACTGGTTTCCCACTATTGGAACTCGAAATTGATTGTTGCTGCTGTTTTCTAGTGGCTGATGATTGCCTGGGTTTTATATTTGTCTCATGTTGAACCTGCTGCCCTTCCTTCCAAACATCTTCCAGATCTTGCTCATTCATCAAAGCCTCAAATGAGTTCGAAACAGTAACATTGTTTGTTTCATTCGTCTTTGTTTTATGAACTGAAATATTGTTTTTGCTAGGTGAAGCAGTAGTTTTAATAACCCCAGCAGTAGCCCGATCAGCAACTGCCCTTGATGTACCAGATTCCTCCAAATTTGAACCTAGTAGTTCCACATTTGTTTTGCTAGCCTTCACACCATCAGGAATACCAACAAAGGCTACTAGTTTTTCACCTAATATTTGCTGAGAATTAGACTGAATCCGCCTTGTATCAAGCTGTCTAGTAACTGAAGGGAAATTATGAGCCTGAGATATCAATGCAACAGTAGCATTCAAATTCGAACCATCTGTAGCTGCTGCATTTTTACGTGGTTTTGCAATGTCATTCAGAGTCGCATGCACCCCAGCTTGCACGTTCAAAGTTTGTTGCTGCATAATGACCTGTGTAACAGTTGTAGCATTAGGAGTATCTTCAGCTGTAACAATTAACTCAGTAGGGCTATCCACTATTTTCCTTGACAAGCTGGTATGTTCTCTAGAACTTCGATCATCCTTATCAACAACACCTATAGAGACACCTTTAATTGTTTGATCAGATTCCTTGGCATATACAGCATTACTCTTGAAGCCTATACCAGATGAAAATATAGTTTCCTTACTAGCCATGTTATCATAGGCATGTACAATTGGATTCACGGCATTTGAAATCCTAGCTAAGGCTATGCTAGCAGGGACATCTCGTGAAGGCTTTGTTGGACCCT